TCTTTTTACCTCTTCTACCCCTGCCTCCCCTTACCACCTTTACAAGCTGTCGTACAATTTTTGGTTCTTTTCTGGTGAAAGAAAAGTGATGTCTCTTCTGTTCCATGCCCCAACACATCTCTTTGTTTCTGAAGAACTGGGCTGCCTTTCAGGGCTTCTCTCTATCTCTTTGTCTAGCAACCAACTTGGTATGCCACCATAGTGTTTCTCCTCTGGCCCTTTCTTATGGGCTGCTCTTTTTCCTCTGTATTTCTTTTGTCACCCCTTTTCCTCTGTGTGTGTGTGTGTGTGTTTTTTTCCTCCTTTGCTGGCAAGAACAATCCCTGCAGAGTTGTTTTTCTTGCTTGCCTTTGATATGCATGTATGAGTCTCTTTATGGCCTTATTCTGAGTGCTACAGGAGAGCTCCATCCATGGATGCGCTGGTTTCCCTTTCTTTCCATATCTTGGGTAAGGACAGGAGATGCTTGCTTGGTTGGCAGTTAAACTGTGTGTGTGAGACCCCAGACAAAAATCTAGGCAGGGGCAAGGTCTATTAAGAAGATTCAAATAGTAGCCTAGAGACTGACTGAGGTCAAACAGAATAAAAAAGAATTCAGGATTATTTGAATTATTTTGGCATTCCTAACATTCCTGGGAAGTTCCACTGAAAAACAGCCACCAAATTTGCTTAGAGCTTTCTGTATCAGTCAGTCTTCTACACAGTTCGAGATGCAATCTTCTATCCACAGCTTCCAGACAGTTGAAGATGAGTCAAAGGCAGGAGAGAAGGAAACCAGAAGTCTGTGTAAGGTCTCCTTATTTCTCAAACGAGCACGATAGGCTGCCCTAGAAATGTTGTAAGGTTCTGCGAGTATCTAAGCTGCTCTGGATTGGTGGTGATTCATTGGGCATATGAAGCCGCCCTATTTCAAGTCCGACTATCGGTCTGTGTAGCTCAGAATTCTTTATTCTGACGGCAGCTCTCCAAGATCTCAGGCAGAGGAATGATTTTCTAAAGACCTTATGTGAGATCGCCAGGGAGTGAACCTGAAACCTTCTGTGCTGAACCCCTGACCCATTCTTGAAGGGCAATTGGGAGGTCTCCCTTTAGTTCCGTCAATTGGCTAGAGCTGGGTGGTGGAATCCCTTCTTTCCATCAGTTCACTGGCTTAAGGCCCATTTAGGACTCTGGTCCAGCTTTGTTTGTGGTATCTTCAGATGTCAGAGAGCTGGGTGAAGGGAACCCAAGGCATTGCAATATGGGGCAAATTCGATCGTCCCAAAGATCACCCCTAGTTTGCCATCTGTGTTGATTTCAGGGAATTCTACTGAATATTTCCCACCTGAATAGTGTTTTTAATTTAGTTATCAGTGTCATTAGTAATGATGCTCAGTCTTCTTAACCCTTGACCACAATACTAATTGGAGCAAGACAGAGTGTCTCCATCACCCAGCCTGTACTTGGCTGTTATCTGAATGAGTTCCCATCCGTGTCACAAAGGATTAATTAAGAAGCTCTGAAGGAAAAAAATTGCAGCTGCACACCCACCTCCTCTTTCCTTCTTGGAGAGAGTTTTTTTCACTGCAGAAATATTAACAAGCTCTTCCCTTCCCACACAGACACAAGTTCAGATTCTCTTGTTAGCCTCTGTCCAGGTTGTGTTCCAAAGGCAGAATGCCAGAAAAACAACCTAATTATAAACAAACAATCGAGGAGGGCTCTGCACTGGAGGGGCCTGGATAGGGTTGCCAGGTCTCACCTTTGCTGCAGTGGACATGGAGCCAGGAGCCTTCTGCCATGTGAGTGAAGCATGTGTGGCAGTGACACCGTCGTGCAGTGACACTCTAGAATTCATGGCAAAAAATCTATGGTAACCATAGAGTTCCCCCTGAATGCTAGAGCATCACTCCACAATAGTCCCAGCATGATGATATCACTACCAGTGACATCATTGCATTGGCGGTGTCCCCATGGGATGCTGGTGTTCAGGGGTGAGGCTTCCCCCGCCAGCCAACTGGCCAGCAGCAGATTGGGGGGCCCCAGATCAGGGGATTCCCTTGGCCCCACAGGGGTGATGGCAACCCTAACCTGGGCTCTGTCCTGCACCTTTGCAAGCCTTTCAGAAAGCCTGTGACTACATCAAGTCACCAAGCAGCTGCAGAGGGGTTGACAGGGCCAGCCTCCAAGGCTGAGGCTGTAGGCAGCTGATGAGGCCTGCTAGCGCCAGAAGAACTCACTGCCAAACTCTGGCCCACCATGGTGTAGCATCACCAGCTGTCACCACCTGCCCTCTTACACGGTGTACAGATGGTGGGATTAGGCACCCGCTGAAAGACGGAAGAGGATACAACAAGGAATAAGGTGTGGATAGAATGTGCACACACAAAAGGTGGCCCTGCCTAGGCTCTCTCCTTGCAAGAGGCGGTGTTCCCACAGAGTTTGCCTGTGTACAGTTGCATGCCATTCAGACCTTCTGATGACTGCATAGAGATCAGGAGCGGGAACAGCAAGCTCTATTTCAGATTCCCTCCTCCATATGAATGTCTGATGAAAGACCATAGAATTTTCAAGGCAAGAGACCATCAGAGGTGGGCTGGTGTTGCCTGCCTCTGCATAGAGACCCTGGATTTCCTTGGTGGTCTCCCATCCAAGCACTAACTAGGGCCGAGCCTGCTTAGCTCCAGAGATCTGTCAAGATCACTCTGGGCCATCCAGGTCAGTTTAAGTACTAAGGGATGAAAAATTGAGCGAAACAGCTGAAATCGCTCTGAAATTCTGAGGATTTGGTTGGAGAGCACATGATCCATAACCTTGTTGAAGCTAAGCAGGTCTGGATGTGGTCAGGGCCTGGCTGGGAAACTTTCTGGAAACTCCAGGTATACCACTTTGAACTCCATTTTGGAAGAAAGGTGGGATATGAATGGATGAGTTGATTTCTATTACACTTTTATCTAACACTTCTTCCAAGGAACTTAGAGTGGTTTATATAGTTCGTTCTTTCTCATCCCCCCCCCTCACAATTCCTGTGAACAAAGTTTGAGTCTGGTGGTACCTTTAAGATCAGGAAACTTTAATTCTGGGTATACGCTTTTGTGAATGGTTGGCCTAATGTTAAGTAAGTTTCATGGCTGAGCATTGATTTGAACTCAGATCTCCCTATTCGAAATCCACCACTCTAACCACTATACTACACTGGATCTCAGGGTAGACAAGATAACTGTCAAATTCTTGACTGTGTCAAGGTATCCTTCTGTGATTGGGTTCTGTTACCTTTCCCACCCTCTGATTCATGCCGAGAAGCAAGACGGATGGAGCTCTTCTGGAACAAATTATTTTTCATCTGCTTGTCCTTCACGTCCATGCATCTTTCTTTCTTTTTCTTTTCTGTTTTTTTTTTCTCTCTCACTGAAATGGATTCAGTGGGACTATCTGAGTAAGTTTGAACCATTGGATTGCATTGAATGGGGTGTATTTGTGCTAACCTTTGGTGTGCTGAAGGTGGGGAACAGGTTGGGTTGGGCATCTCTGGTGTGCCAGCCAGCAAACCTGCCTGGAGCTCAGTCTGAATTGCATTGGAATTCCAAGGGACTGGGGGGGTGGGGGCGGACAGGATGCCTGCAGGCTCTGTTCCCAGTAGCGCCAGCAAGCATCCTCAGTTCATGCTTGATTTTTCCTCTTGGTAGCAATTACTCAGCAGGGGTCTGCTGTCAGCCTTTAGATAGTAGCTGGAAAGTACTTACAGCAATAGGCTGCATACAGACAATGGCTTTTTTAAAAATGGTGCAGAAGTGCCATTGCTTATAGTACACGTGATTGTGTTTTTTGTAAGTTGCTAGGATCAAAGAAGTTATTGCAAGTTTTCATACATTTTCAAACTGCGGTGGCTCAGGTGGTTAAGACGCTGAACTGCAGGCTGTGGAAGGCCGGTAGTTCAGCAGTTCGAGACCCGCGTTGCCGCATGATGGAGTGAGCTCCCATCTCTAGTTCCAGCTCCTGCCAACCTAGCAGTTCGAAAGCAAGAAATTGCAAGTAGATAAACAGGTACCACTTCAGTTAGAAGGTAACAGCGTTCCGTGCGCCTTGGTGTTTAGTCATGCCGGCCACATGACCATGGAAACGTCTTCAGACAGCGCTGGCTCTTCGGCTCTGAAACAGAGATGAGCACCGCAACCCTAGAGTCGGATTCGACTGGCTTTCGAGCAAGGGAACCTTTACCTTTACCTTTAGAACCAAACAAGTTATTGCAAGTTTTCATACATTTTCAAACGTTACTTTGGAAAAGCTGAAGCTAGGCCACAAACACAGGGTACAACCAGGCCTGCTGCAATAGAGAAATGTTAGTTTTGATATGACAGCCGCAGTTGCCTAGAGAATAGGTGCCATGGTAGGCAGTGGTCTCTCTCCCCCCCCCCCAATCCTTGAAGCAGTTGTAAAAGATTCAGAGAAAACATAGAACGTGTCCACACCAAAGACGTAAATTGGTTAATAGTTGTTCCCTCTGCCCAGAGAACTCTGGGAGCCAGGGATCTAAGACACTCTTCCTGAATTTTAATTCCCAGGATTCTTTGGGAAATGGCCATGATGATAAAAATGTTACAACACTGTTATGTGCTTGCAGTATAAACAGCCCAAAGATAATGGCAAATTCTTTGCTATCCAGGCAGTTATGAAATTTATCTCAGAAGAAAAAAAGAGTGACTTTATGTATCGACTGAAAGAAATGTAGGAGGTGGTAGTTCCAAGTGACAGGAAGATAGATTTGGGTTAAATATGAGACCAAGTACAGTTCACTTGAGACAAATGGCTTAGAGAACTTGGGGAAGGTTCTTCCTTCTGGTGTTTGTCACCTAAGTCAGCACACGAAAGGTTAACCTTGTAGAACGTCACTTCTTTGTAATCTTGCTGTTTTACTGAAGGGAATAAAAATAGAAGAAAGCCGGAGTAGGTGGGTGGGTCTTGGCATTTGGGGAGGGGGAAGGCGTTGGCCAGCATTGATAGGAAACTTGTTGATTTCTCAGCGCTTGGTGAGGATGAACATGCCAATCTCGAATGACGACCTGACAGTTCACTTCACATCTACACTGATGGCCTTGATCCGTACCGCCCTGGAAATCAAACTTGCATCAGGTGAGGTGGGGGTGCCATTTTTATGGTTTGGAGGCCAGGAGTGGGGAGATGCTCACACCCAAACACTTACAGGCAGAATCTTCATTTTGAACTTCAAAATACCAGCCTAAAGTTCTGGAATGAGATTCTGGGGGAGCGTAATTTCTGTTTGCTCAAGCCTCATCAAACACATCACACCTCATTAAGGAGCGGATGTGATCCTTTCCCCCATTCCTTTCGGCCTAACTTTTCTCTGTCCATTTTTGGGCTGGGATTACCCTGCCTTTTTGAAGTGCAGTGAAGCAGCGGCTAGACTACAACATGCCTGGCCACCAGGAGATTCCTCCCTTCATGGCTGCTGTTCTGCAACCTGTCAGGTCTCCTTCTTATAGCCTCTGATTGAGTCACCTTGCCTTCATCTCCCACCAGAGAGCCGGTTTAGTGTAGTAATTAAGAGCATGGACTCTAATCTGGGAGCACCAGGTTTCATTCCCCACTCCGCCACATTCAGCTGCTGGTGTGACCTTGGGTGAGTCATAAATTCTTTCAGAGCTGTTCTCTCAAGGGCAGTTCTCAAGAGCGCTCTCTCAGCCCCTTCTACCTCACAGGCTGTCTGTTATGGGGAGGGGAAGGGAAGGGAAAGGGATTGTAAGCCGCTCTGAGACTCCTTCGGGTAGTGAAGGGTGGGGTAGAAATCCAATCTCTTCTTCTTGCTCTTCTACCTTCTTGAGCCTGCATGTCTCACTTTTGACCCTGTATGTCTCACTTTTGGTTTTTGCAGAGCGAACCTAACAGTTCGAAAGCAAGAAATTGCAAGTAGATAAATAGGTACCACTTCGGTGGGAAGGTAACAGAGTTCCGTGCGCCTTGGTGTTTAGTCATGCAGGCCACATGACCACGGAAACGTCTTCGGACAGCGCTGGCTCTTCGGCTTTGAAACGGAGATGAGCACCGCAACCCTAGAGTCGGATTCGACTGGCTTTCGAGCAAGGGAAACCTTTACCTTTACCTATGTCTTCTGCAGATCCAACATGTAGACCCATCTCTTCTCCCCTGTATTCATCGCAGTTAATGCAGAACTCGAGGGGATACTCACCAGAAGAGCAAGAATGCTTACCCCAGGAGAGCCCGTGAGGGGATCTGTGGAACCTTTTATGAGAGTAAATAATTTTCTTCTTCGTGTCTTTTCCCTGTACCCTACAGGTGTCCTTCAGCACCAGTGTGATGCTGAACTGAGGAAGGAGATCTCCCTGGTTTGGCCCAATCTCTCCCAAAAGACCTTGGATCTGTTGGTGCCACCTCATAAACGTAAGTGGCCCATTTCTCTTGGTAGCTGTCTGCATGCCCTGTGGTGGTGGTGGTGCGGGATAATTGTTATGCTAAGGCCCTCATCCCTGCCAAATCTCTCCTTATAAATAAAAGAGTTTTCGTGTCCCTCTTGCCTCAACGTTCCACACGCTTCCCCAGCTTTTGGCTCTCTGATCTGTCATTCAGCGGGTGTCCCTAGGCACTGGCTGCATTGCCTGAGTCCCGCCCAGCTGCCACTCAAGAGTACTCACATGCCATTGGCCGGGTCCTGGGTTTGCTCCTCTTTCCTGCCCAGTCCTTCAGCCACTGTGCCCTGTCAGAATTTCTGGCAAATGGCTTTCTGTCATGATGAAGACAGTTGCCTCCTCTGTGGGAGTAATTTTTTCCTCAGTAGCTGTTGGTAGGTGTCACGAAATGGCAGTTGCCTGTGTCTGTGTGATGGCTGCCGTCTGTGTGTTTAAAATCTTCCCCCATAAGGCTTAATTGAGCTGTAGTTCCAGAGAGGGTCCTACAGGGGTATCACTCACTGGGGCTTCCTTATCAATGGGGCTTCCTCATCTGCTAGCCTACAGTTCCCAGCTACCCCAAGGCCAAAAAGAGCGGGAAAACAGGGACCAAGGCAGTCTTCGTCCCTGGGAGGCAGCAGAAATTCAGCCACTCCACAGTCAGCTGGGCTGGGGAATGAATGGAAGTTTCCCTGCTCTCTTGGGCAACAGAGAGAGGCTGAAGTACAGGTGAGCCCACAACCTCCAGAGGTAGAGGGAAAGACGATTGCATTTAATCCCTGTTGATTTATGCTCTGGGTTCAAGGTGTCTGCTCCATGACTGTGTAAATAGTTAAATAAATTCTTTTATTTGGGCTAATAATCTGGGTTGTCCTCTGACCACATAGTCTCCCTTGCTCTGCAAAATACAAGAGGGAGGGGGTCGCCCAGGAAAGGCCAGACCCTTGGGTTGCCAGCTTTCCAGGAATCCCACAAAGATTGGGTATTCCATCTCCAAATAGGGAGATTCGGCATGGAGGTCAGGGTTTCAGAGCACCGTAGAGGCTGCAGGTATGGAGTGGAGATGGAAAGCTGAAGAGGGGGAAATAAAGGTATGTCGATGCTTGGCTGGGAAATTCCTGGATATTTGAGGGATGGAACCTGGAGAGGGTGAGGTTTGAGGAAGGGTGGGACCTCAGACAGGTACAATGTCATAGACTCCACCCTCCCAAGCAAGCATTCCCTCCTGGGGAACCATTGTTGCCAATCTCCAAGTGGGGGTTGGAGATCACTCCAACTGATTTCCAGGAGGGAGGGAGGAGGAGATGGAAAGCTGAAATCAGGGGCAGATAATGGCAGGTTGATGCTTGGCTGGGAAGGAGATAGACTTGCCAACTCTAGGTTGGGAGATTCCTGGAGATTTGAGGGGTGGAGCCTGGAGAGGGTGCTGTTTGAGGAGGGGTGGGACCTCAGACAGACCCCACCCTCCCAACCAGCCATTTCCTCCCGGGGAACCATTGTTGCCAATCTCCAGGTGAGGGGTGGAGATCACTCATAATTACAACTGATCTCCAGGAGGGAGGGTAGAAGTCAGCTGCAGTCAGAGGGGCAGATAACGGTAGGTTGATGGTTAGCTGGGAAGGATATGGGGTTGCCAACTCCAGGTTGGGAAATTCCTGGGGATTTGAGGGGTGGAGCCTGGAGCGGGTGGGGTTTGAGGAAGGGTTGGACCTCAGACAAGTACAATGCCATAGACTCCACCCTCCAAACCAGCCATTTCCTCCTGGGTAATAACTGTTACCAATCTCCAGGTGAGGGCTGGAGATCACTCAAAATTACAACAGCTCTTCAGGTGGCAGAGATCAGTTCCTCTGGAGAAAATGGTGGGCACTATGTCATTATACCCTGCTGAGATTGCCACAGCAAATTGACGCTGAGTGTCCAAGGCCTTGGGACTCTCCCAGAGCCTCTTTCTAGATCTCGTATTTATTTCCACATCGGGCCTTATTCCTAGTCTGTGTATAAATCAGTGTCTGGGTCAGAACAAGGAAAGGAAAATAAATCCTTTACCTTTTTTAGATTTCTGTGTTACTCTTGATAGGTTTGTAGTTCACATATGCAAAGAGGAACACAAAAGTATACATGCACTACAGTGATCCCTGACAATCAGGGACAGAGCCTATTTTCTGGTACCCGTCCCTGTTTTGTCCCATGGGAAGATCTGAGAGGTGCCCTATTTAAAGAGGTCTTGGTGTGTGTGTTTGTGCTAGAGAACCCTCACTTTTCTTCTGCCACCACTGGTGGAAACAGGCATTATCCCCAGTGCTTCATCATTAATAGTTCCCACTTCTTCCATCTTTCCCCCATTAATCTCTGTTCTTTGTGGGATTTGTTTCCTCCCCAGCTGAAGCAATGACAGTGGGGAAGGTCTATGCAGCCCTCATGATATTTGATTTCTACAAGCAGAATAAAAATACCCGAGATCCAGCTCACCCAGCCACTCAGGTAAATTTCGTCTTCGTTTCAATGAGCCAGTTAGAATCATTGGTTGTGTATTTACCAAAGCAATTTTGCAGAACTCCATGAATTTTTTTGTCCCAGATTTCCCATAATTGAGGACTCCAAGTCCATTTTTAAAAGGATTTAGATACATGCATTTCCATTAGTGCTTTAAAAGAAGGTTAGATACATTCATGGAGGATAAGTCTATAGATGGCAGCGCTGATGGCTAGGGGAGCTTCCACACTCAGAGGCAGTATATCTGTAAAGACCAGTTATTAGGGTCAACAACTGTGGAGAGCTGTTGTCCTTTTAGCTTACGTAGCTGGTCACTGTGGAAAATAAGATTCTAGATCAGATGGAATGTGATCCAGGGGAGCTCTTCTGTTCCATTATTCTTACATTAGTACAACTAGAATCCTCTAGAAATCCCATATTTTGCAGTGTTCAGAATTCTTCTTTTGTCTTATATTGTAGACTTTCCCCTCCTTTTTTCAATTCAGCTCTGAGCCAAAAGTTTTAAAAGTTCTAATCTGGTTAATGTATCTGGGGTCGAACTACATATGTCACTGGAGTTCCATGACTGAAACTCCTGACATGTAGTTTAAAATTCAGGTATTTAAATCCTGCTTTTCTCCTTGACAGGGACACAGAGCAGTTTACAATGATCAAAAACATACAATATAAGCAAATAAAATAACAAGCTTCATCTTCAGTCAGTCCTGCATCCAGTGGATGACTTATCCAAGGCTTATGTCTCTGAACATACACAAGCTTTACACCTGTAAATGGGTGGTAGAACAAAAGCCAAGATATTATTCAGCTGACTCAGATGTTCCTCCCAATTTCCCTCCGTCTTGCAGCCATGGGAGCCCCCTTGTTAGTTTGAGTCTATGATGCTGGGCAAGAAGGTTTAACTGTTCTGTTCACGCAGTTTTGATTGGAAATATCCCCTACTACAAGGAATTTAAACCACAGAAAGGAAAACAAGACTGGCTTAATATGGGTATTGGGAAGGGTTTTTCGACAACTAGGGTGGCCATTACCAGATGACTGATATAGAAATCAAATAGATTACATAATCGGAAGCAAAATATGGAGAAGCTCTAGTCTCTCTGCTAAAACAAGACCAGGAGCTCATTGTGGTACAGACCATGAATTGTTAATATTGAAAATTAGAATAAAACTGAAGAAAAACAGCCATACATTCATAGTCCCAAAATACAATCTAAACAACATCCGGAAGAGTTTACAGACCATGTAAAGAACAGATTTGCATTACTAAGTTCAAGTGAACACAAACCAGAAGAACTACGGGTTGAAATCAGAGATATTATCAAGGAAGAATGCACAAAGACTATTCCTGTAGCCAAGAGAAATGAAAAACTTCAATGGATAAATGATGAAATGCTTAAAATTACTAAAGGTTGATGAGAAGGAAAAATAAAAGGTGACATAAATAGAATCAGAAGTCCAAATGCATCTGTCCAGTGACTTGCACAGTATAAACAAATACAAGGGAATAACAAGAAAGAGAGAACAAGAGATCTGTTCCACAAGGTCAAAAGGAAATCAAAAGGAAATTTAAAGCACAGTTAGCCATGCTGAAAGGTCAGCATGGAAAAACATTAACTGAACAAGACAAAATAAAGAAAAGATGGGAGCAATATAATGAAGAACTATACAGAAGAGATGAAAGGATGACAGATTCCAAGAAGAATCTTTTGAACCTAAAGTTTTAGAATGTGAAGTGAAAGCTCTATTGAGCGCAGTGGGGAGAAACAAATCACCAGGAGTAGATAGGATATCAATAGAGCGATTCCAAGCCACAGAAACAGAGACCATCAAAATCTTAACAGGATTGTGCCAACAAATATGGAAAACCGAACAATGGCCCACAGACTGGAAATGTTCAATTTACAACTCAATGCTGAAGAAAGGAGATGTCCAAGATTGCAGGAACTATTGGACCACTGCATTAATTTCTCATGCAAATAAAGTGGTGCTCAAAATCTTACAACAAAGACTGTTACCATTTATAAAACAAGAAATGCCAGATGTTCAAGCTGGATTCAGAAAAGGAAGAAGTGCTAGAGATTATACTGCAAATTTACGTTAGTTACTGAGCATACAAAAGAATTTCAGAAGAAAATTAATTTATGTTTCATAGACTACAGCAAAGCTTTGGACTGTGTGGATCATGAAAAGCCATGGTTGAATTTTAAAGAAATGGTGTGCGACAAAATCTGATTGTTTTGATGAGCAATTTATACTCTGGGCAAGAGGCTACTGTTAGGACTGAATATGGAGAAACAGAATGGTTTCCATTTGGCATATTTCTCTGGTGGAAAACGATGCTGTGATATGCCGTTAAAGGTGGTGGTGGCGGCGGTTGTACTGGCAGAAAATAGTGAAGACTTGAAACATCTCCTGATGAAGGTTAAAGCATAAAGTGCCAAAAACAGGATTACAGGTGAACATCAAGAGACAAAAGTAGTGACTACCAAGGAATTATACAACTTTAAGGTTGACTATGAAGAAATTGGAGTTGTTCAAGATTTTCTATTCCTTGACTCCATCAACTGAGAAATCAGAAGGAGATTGAGACTGGGAAAGGCAGCCCTGAAGGAGCTAGAAAAGATGCTTAAGTGTGTTTCTGGTGACCAAGATCAACATCACTCATACCATATTATCCCCCATTACTATATATGGGTTTGAAAGTTGGACAATGAAGAAAGCTAACAGGAAGAAATTGATTCATTTGAAATGTGGTATTAGAGGAGAGTTTTATAAATACCATGGACTGCCAAAAAAGACAAATCAGTGGGTTCTAGATGAAATCAAGCCTGAACTCTCCCTAGAAGTTAAAATGACTAAACTGAGGGTCATGTTGGTCATGTTATGAGAAAGCACAAGTCACTGGAAAAGACCAATAATGTTAGGAAAAGGTTATGGCCTCAGGAAAAGCGGAAGAGCCAACATGAGATGGATTGACTCATTCAAGGAAGCCACGGCCCTCAGTTTGCAAGACCTGAGCAAGGTTGTTAAATATAGGATGCCTTGGAGGTTATTAGTTCATAGGTTTGCATTAAATCGGAAGTGACTTGACAGCACTTCACACACACACACAAGGTTTAAAGCTGCTGGGAGGGGACATTTCTGAAACGAGAAAGAGCATGGTGCAAGACACACCCTACTCTAGCACCACCACCCGGATTCATATGTCCCTTTCCCCTGATTATTCTTATGACCAAATAGTACATTACTATTCTAGTTACAGGACTCCAGCATTCTGTGTAGTCTGACCCTTAAAATCATGTTACTCAGCAACCTGCCTAATTTGATGCTTCTACGCTAAACCAATCAACCCTAAATCCAATCCATATTTTAAAAAGATAAGAATATAGAGAATATCAGTTTGAATATTTGTCAAAAGATTTAAGTCAAGAAAATTATCTTGAAATTTAGCACTAATTTGCACAAGTCACACAGGCCACAGGGCCTGCACATGTATCTTTGGTGAATTTCTAAAACTGGCATGTTGGTAGCGACTTGTGATGTGCTATGTGCTGTTCAGGATAACCGCTACCCTTCTGAACAGCAGTTCCAGCAGTTCAGATAAATCAGTACTTGACTTGCATGGCTCCTGATTCAAGCCCCACAACACGACACCACGTTAGTTCAGAACTGTAGGATTCCCTTGGTGCCTGAGATATTGACAGGAGGTAGAGTCTGTAGAAGATGCCATATTCAGTCCCTGGCACCAGCAATTCAGGGAGCTCAAGCAGCAGGTGGGGAAAGCTTTTCTCTGCCTCAGACGCTGAAGAAGTGCTGCCAGGCAAAGCAGAAAATATTGATAGCCTTAAACTGACTTGATACAAGCCAACTTTGTATTAGTAGGCCCATAGCACAGTGGTTTGCTTTGCAAGTTAGAAGGTCCCTACAGTGCCCAGTTAAAGGCTCTCAGGTAATGACCTGGGAAAGATCTTTTTCTGCTAGAGAGCCAGGGCCAGTCAGAATGGACAAAGCGGAACTACAGGGACCAGTGGCCTGACTCCATATAAGCAGCTTCCTGTGTTCATAAGCTCTTTGCTCAGTCCCTGTTGGAAGGAATGACTGCAAACATTTCTGTCAATTGCTCCTTACATATGGTTACAAGAACAGATAATATTAGTGATTCTTCTCTTCTTACGACTTGCAGACTGGAACCGTCTCCCTATTCCACCCACTGAAAGCTGCACTGGAGCAAAGCCAGCCAGTATTCCCCAATGCTTTCCTTCGTCAAAAGAGCTCTGCTTCCCTCAACAATGGAGGGGCTTTGTGAGTACCCTGACATTTCTTGATATTTCGGCCTAGTTCTGTGGAGGTTGTAGATTAACATCTGGGTTGTAACACTTCAGACAGAAGCCTGGGGCTCATGTGATAGAATTCTCTTCCTTACAGATTTCTTCAGCATAGAAAACGAGTGTCTCAGAGAAAGGGGTTTATTTTATTGACTACGGTATTTATTCAAAACATTTATACCCAACCCTGAACTCTCTGCTTTGCTTATGAGATGGCTCCCAAATATAAAACATAGAAACAGTTAAAATAAAGTAATAGTCAAAAACAAACAGCAAGAAATCATGTTAAATCAGAATGTGACAAGAACTGTAGCTTGGATCCACCAGTAATTTCCAGGGATGTAAAGGGTTTTGGTCAATGGAGCTGGACTTTCTCACCTGTCCCATTTTGCTGCTGCCCAAAATTCCCTCTGAAATGTGGTTCCTGGGAGCAACATTGGGGGGGGGGGGGGAGCCAGAGGTCTGCAGTAGGACTGAAGAACTGGTGAAAACTCGGTTCCCCTTGAATCTGTGAAAATCCTCCGTCAGACCTAACAATTCTAAACATTATAGATCATCCAGAGCCCTAAAGGATCATTATGAGTCAGAATGGGGGGGGGGGGCTGGAGTACCGAGGAACATTCTCTCTTACGCTTGCAATCTAAAGGGCTACAGTCTACACAAAAATGTAATTCTTCATTGATAACTAGGCCCCCATTAGCCTGTACTAGCTCACCAGTGGGTGCCTTTGTTTGCCCCCCCCCCAAGCCATAGTATTTTGAATTACGCATGTTCTTTTTCTTCCCTTTTCACAGACCACCACCAGAAGGGAGAGGAATCAAAGAGTCCATTTCATGGGGCACTCAACGAACTCAAGATGTGTTTTATGAGACCAGAACACCAGCATTTGTGCGAGGCCACTCAGAGGAAATTTCTGTGGAGCAGACAAGCAAACAGGTGAAGACCAAACACACACACACACACACACACACACACGTTTCCTTGCACATGGGAAGCTTCTTCCTCTTGAAGTACAGGTTGCTTCGGCTTTCTGTTCCCATGCATTTAGCAGAACATTATTGAACTCTGGGTCTGAACTTCAGCCACTTCCTCCAGTAGGTCGGTAGCCATGTTGGTGTGTTACAAGAAAATCTGGAGGCACAGTAAAGTGATATCTCTGTTAGAATCAATACGGGTTCATGACTGAATGTATAGTCTTTCCAGTTACTCAGAACTCTTCCTTGGGCCAGACATTTGAAAAAGGAGGAGGTATACATATTTCTGGAAGGAAGGCCTTTGCCTGCTGTTGTTTCAGTCCCTAGTCCAGATGGTAGTGCTAGCAGCTGCTGTTTGGTATCTCCTGAGAGCTTTTAAATGTTTGGAAGCCGCAGAGCAGGCCTTCTGGTTTCCTTTATCAAATCACCCACCAAGCCGGTTGAGGATCTTGGCTGCAAACCCTATACTTAACATTTGTTGTGGTAAAACAATCCCTGACTTCTCTATTTAATGGATCTCAAGCAGCAAGCATTAGGGAAGACCTTTCTCTGCCCGAGACCCTAGAGGACTTCTCCTCATCAACCACAAACCGACTGGACTAGTCTTAAGCAAGCCTCTGTTTCTTATGCTCAGCTCTCCCCATCTACAATATGGGAATCAGGGGTAGACTGGCCATTTGACTTACAGGGAAAGTTTCGGGGGGGGCACTGCCCTGGAGGGCCACTGGCACCCAGGAGAAAGTAGAGCCAGGCTCCGATAGCTTTGATAGTGCAGCGGGGACCATGAAGCTCAGTTACTAGCGGTGGTGCAGAAAGAGGTGATGGCTGAACTGACGCCCATTGTTAGCCAGGTCAGAGCCAAATGGCCTTGTAGCACTGCTCCTGGCACTGCATCGACCACTCAGTGTCCTTGGGCCATTTTAACTTCCCAGTCTGCCCCTGACGAGGATGCTAATACTAGCCTACCTCACAGGGCTGTGTAGTGCTCTGGACTCTTGACGTGCCCAATATGAATAGCACATCAGTCCAGGAAACTCTTTTAGGACTAAATTGGGTGGTTTGTGGATGGGATGAAAAAAAGAACACAAAAGCCAATAAACAGAAAAATTCACAAATCTCAATGTGGCTCAAGATCGTCAGCAGAGGCATCAGGTCCCCTGATCAGTCTCTGGCATCTCCTGTTAAAGGGTCTCAGCAGCAGGTGTTGAGAAAGGCAGTTATTTGCCGGAGACTCCGGAGAGCAGCTGCCTGTCAAAGCACACAGTCCTGAGAAAGATAGGCTGATTGGCTGACTCGGCATAAGGCAGCTTCATATTTTCATTTGCACTTCTGCCCCAAATTTCTTTCAGGTAGTAGAAATGCAAGAGATCAGCCCAATGCTAGCCAATGGTGAACATCAGCCTGGCCTGGAAAGCCAGGGGCGAGCCGCTTCCATGCCACGCTTGGCAGCTGAAACTCAGGTGAGCGCGGGAGGCTTAACTGGCAATGGAAGGCTTACAGTAAGTCCCTGATTCAACGCCTTCTCTGTGTTTGTCTCATTGTCTGGAAGGTACTTGCTTGGGAGGTTTAAAGGGGTGTGTGCTGTAACAGGCAGCCCCGTAGCTAGAGAATTTTTGGGAGGGGGCCTTGGGGGGGGCGCCAGCTAATTAAATCAAAGCACAATGCAGGTGGCATGTCAGGGCACTTTGGGGGCAGGCCAGGAAGGAGGGGGCCCAGAAGAAAGACTAGGGGGCCAGGCCCTGTGGGCCCCACGTTAGCTACGGGCCAGGTAACAGGGGATTCGTTCTCTCTCTCTCTCTCTCTAGCCTGTCAATAATTTTTGGTGTGGTTTGGAGGTTTGCCCCATCTGCAAATCTTGTTTGAGGACAAATACATTGGCTGATGCCAAACTTAACCCACTCTAAGCTTAGAAGTATTTCCCTCTGTATCCCACCAAAGAGCTTGCAGTGACTTTAGAAAACAAACTAAAACTTTAGATCCTTCCATTTAGCCTGCCCCATGCAGAATATTTTTTTGATAAATAGTACTTTTTTACATTGAAGGAATGACTGTCCTTGCAAATTTAAATGCATTTCCCATTCTGATAAACTGTGCCAACCAAGGAATGCCAGGAGTTGTAGCTCTGTGAATGAGGTGGGGGAGGGAAGGTTAGTACAGACAGGTTAGAAGCCAGGAAGTACCCAGGAAAGGCTGGGGTGCCCCCTACCAAGATAAGTTACCCAGACAGAGGAAAGTCAGCAGCAATACGGGTCTTAATATTGCTTATTAGTTCCAGATTAGCCCTCAAGTATCACCTCAGTCTAGGAGAATCATGAGTTGCTGTGGCAGTCTCCATGCTAGAATGGCTTATGCTCTGTCCAACTAGCAGCCTCTTTGGTGCAAGGAGCCAGTGCCTGGTCCTCAGGATTCCCACTTCCTGGCAGCTGTATAAAGAAATGCTGACTGAGGGGGAAAGATTATCTGACTTGAAGGTGGAGCTTTTCAGATTTAGGTGCTTTGTCACTGAGTCAAAGTTCCTGTTCTCATGCACTGCAGTCCTAATCCATTTCACATGCACACACCTACTGACAGCTTTGGGAGGCCAAATTATAGCACATCTGGGGAGTCACATGCAATAAGGCCCTTGTGGCACTTCTGGACATTACACCAGTCAGTAACAGAAGCCACCAGCCAGAAAACCAAATGCAAAATACTGCCTGTTTTTAGAAGAAGAAGAAGAGATTGGATTTATACCCCGGTCTTCACTACCCAAAGGTGTCTCAGAACGGCTTTCAAACTCCTTTCCCTTCCCCTCCCCACAACAGACACCCTGTGAGGTGGGTGGGGCTGAGGGAGCTCTTGACAGAAACTGCTCTTTTTCAAGAACAGCTCTTATCAGAACTAAGGCTTGCCCAAGGTCATCCAGCCAGTTGCAAAAGGAGGAGTGGGGAATCAAACCCAGTTCTCCCAGATTAGAGTCTGCGCACTTAACCACTACCATTATTCTCTTGGCTCTGCTTTCTGTGCCTATCCTGCTAGTCCGTCTGGAGCATTGAGTGATGCTTTACTATCATAAATTCATCATGATCACCACAGGTAGAAATTTTATATTATCCAGTGACATCTGAAAACCCAGAACTCAGTGGAGATAGTTCACATATTCAAGCTGAGAGTCATCAAGTGATGGAAGAAAATGATGAACATGCATGCGTGAACTAGACTTAAGTCTGATGCATTTCTCATGTGCAGGATGCCATCGGTGTGAAATGCCTGATCATTTGAAACCAATCTAGAGGGGTGGAGTTGGTTTTTCAGGCAGTTTCAGTAATTACCACTGATTTCAGTTGGACTTCTGCAAATGTTCATTGAGTGCCTAAGGAACATTAATCCCCTTTGGCTTGAGTGGAGCACCCAAAACATTTCCTCTGCAAGAGATGCTCAAGAAATCCTTCTTTCTACAGTTGTGTGATACAGCCTCATCATTACCCCTATAACCCAACATACCCTGGTTGTTCTTTTCATTTCTCACTCCATTCCATCATTCACACATTGCTAGTGATTGCCCTCCAGGTGTTAATGGAACACTTTGTTTCCCTCTGGGACCCCAGGACATCAGTACTGTTGAGTTTCTTCAACACTCAACACTCTTGAGTGTCTTGTAGAGGCAATGACTGAAGCTTCTGGGTCACCCCCAGAACAGCAATCCCACCTGGCTCATCAGTCATTACCAAGCCCAATTCCAAATATTAGTCTTTGGCCCACTGACATTAAACTTCCTTCTACTGAGTCATGGCACTGGTCTATCAAGGTCTGTATTGTCTGCTTTGACTGGTAGCGACTCTCCAGCCCAGGGTCTTAGGTGGGAGGTCTTTCTCATCACCTGCAACTTGATCTTTCATAAATGGAGGTGCCAGGGATGGAATGTGGCATCTTCTACATACAAAGCAGATGCTCTGCCTTTGAGCCACAGCCCCTCCCCAGGGGGGGAAAAAGTCCAAGTCATCATTCATATCAAAACTGGCTCCAAGTTGTTAGGATCTCCAGGCCAGGACCACACAACGGGCCCTGCAAGCCAGCTCATAGACATGGGGCAACTGGGGGGGGGGGAGACTAGCCAGATGGCTTGGGCTTATCGTACCCCCCCATGTCAATTCTGGTGTCAGTGCCTGCTGGAGCTCCTCCTCCTCTGCCACCCTTTCCGCTTGCTTTCTCTTTGATTGCATGGAGGAAGAGCAAAAGCAGCTGCTGCTACTTTCATTGTCTCCATGTCATAGTGGTTAATTTGAAGCAAAGGAAAGGAGTGGTCAGTGGAGTGAGCCAACAAATGGCGGCTGCTGCTGCTCTCCTTCCCCTTACCAAAACTGGAGCTGGAGGAGAAAGTGACTGGAGAGGGAGCTGGCAACAGGGGTGGCGAGGAGGAGGAAGAGCCAGCACCATGAAGTCATGATTTGGAGACTCCAGTAAGCACTGGGCCCACTGCCAACACTATCAAATTCTGATGCTGGGCCTGAGTCATATTGTCCCCTAACAGTTCTGTCTACCACTTCAGTCTTAGTGACATCTCCCTCTAGAAACTCCCTCTGAGTTAAACTGACTTCATTTGATGACACAACTTTCTTACATTTGTAGCTTCCTTTGAGTAACTGGTCTCCATTCTGGGCCTCTGGCCTTCCACATTGTTCCATGGATACCTTTGGACTAACACCCATTTCTGTTTCTTGTCTTCATTCACTCCCCCCTTTCTTTGCCTGTTTGTCTCCCTGTCTGGTTGCTCTCATCCTTTCACCCCCCCTTCCCTTTCTTCCCTTCCCGCTCCCCCTTCCCTTGGTCATCTCGTCTCCTGCCCACCTGCTGTGATGTCTGACCCTGGCTGTGCTGGTTGGGGCGGCTTCAAATGTTTTTCTGTCATCTTGTCCGAATTGTTTGCAGAGGAGCAAAGCACGGTCACCGGGGAGATACCTAGCAGTATGTAGCTTGAACTAAGTTGTATCCTCTAATATCCGTTTATGAAATTATTGCATCAAATGATTGTTAACCCTTAATTTTAATTTCCTTGTTTGAGTTGCAGTCTAACATGAGAAGGATATTTCTGCCATATGTCCACGCTTCACTTAAAGTTGCTATGATCCCAATTTTTGGGGTGGATGCTTCCCCAAGTGATGGAAAATTCAGAACAGTCATGTCAGGCTCCTTTATTTCTTTGGGGGAGAGATCACTGGAAACTGATCCATAATGATCAGTGTACAGCTTGAGCGGAAACCACAGGAATGCAGCAGCAAGCGCACAGATAATGCTTGTTCAGCCAACCAGCTCTTCACACAAATATCTTTATATTTGTGTGTGTGTGTGTTTTTGTGTGCTTGCCTGGAAGTCATGGTTGGTTTCTGGTGACCCTTAGTGGGGTTTGGGAAATGTTTCAGAGAGCTGGCTTGATTATTTGCCTCTGCGTCCCGCCTCTGGTATTCCTTGGAAGTCTCCCTTCCAAGTACTTGCCAAGGTTGGCCCTGCTTAGCTTCTGAGATCTGATGAGATTGGGTTTGCCCAGGCTATCCAGGCCAGGGCTTCACACAAATATCTTAATAGCTCAAAAACTATCTCTGCTGTTTCTCTCCAGACTTTGGTGGAAATTAGCCAAGTGGCACAGCAGGGGCATGCTGGGCTCACAAACACAATGGGGTGGATCCAACAATCCTCCAAGAAGCCTCCCTCCAATCTAAGGAGCCTTCCTCCAACTTTAAGTGACTCTTCTTCCAAAAGAGCATACTGACCTCACAACCTAAACAATGGGGTGGATCCAATGATCCTCCAAGAAGCCTCCCTCCAATCTAAGGAGCCTTCCTCCAACCTAAGTGGCTTTTATGTCAGAAGAAGTGCCACTTAAGCTGGAGGAAGCCTCCTTGGATTGGAGGAAGGCTTCAAACTTGAGCCCAAAGGAAACCGGGGGTATAACTGTTTTAATAAATAAACTTTGCTCAGTGACAGGGGTAGGATCCACTCCAATCCCATCAAAATAATTCTCGTCCATGGTAGAACACATGACCTGTGCGTGTAAAGTCTCAAATTCAGCTTCTTACTTCCCCGATTAAAAGGATAACTGAGCAGCTCCAGTGTGGCTGAGAAAACTGTTTAGGAAGGACCTGATTGCATGGGAGACTGCATGCCCACTTCCCCAGCACAGTGCTGGTTTGACGGGAAATGCCCACACAATAAGCCTTTGGCCATGTTCTTCCAGCTGCAGCGGCAGTGCTTATGGAGAAGCAGCTCCATTGTATATGGAACTGTTTGGTGCGCTGCCTGATCCGTTCTTGTTTACTTGGAAATGTCCCATGGTCTCAGTGCCCAGCTGTTTCCCGTGTTATAGTTCCATCTCAAAATGTATAAAGTAAAGGTAGATGGAAGTCCCCTTGAGCAGAATGCCTTTCCCTCTTCGTTAAGTAATTATAGAGAGTCCTTCCATATCAGGGCTTTACCGAACTGGGGTGGGGTGGGTGGGGGTGTTCACCAGTAGTGAAGGTGACATTTTCAGAAGACTTTTGTCCTGGCATCAGTTACCCTCATAAGCACTCACCCTGCTGAATTTAAAGGAACCTCCTCTCAAGTGTGTAGATAGGATAGCAGCCTCAGTGTCCTTCCATTTACTCAGGCAAAGCACTGGTGAGAGGCACCCCAAAAGAGTATGTTTTCCGCACAGGTTGTTTGATTAGAAGACTTGGCTCCCAGGGATGGAAAGAGGGTACTAGAGGTTCCTACTTCCAGTAAACTACTTTGTGTGCTCTTCTCCCCATTTCCTACCTCCTTTCCTCATATTTGTCTGCAGCCCATCCCGGACACAAGCCCCATGAAGCGCTCCATCTCCACACTGAACCCACAGCGTCCCCATGCCACGCACCTCTACGAACATTCCCGGCCAACAGAGCACACCCACCATCACCACCACCACCGCTGCCACCGACGGAGAGAGAAGAAACAGAAATCCATTGACAAGCCCCCGAACCATCTGGCTGATGGGGAGGCTGCTGGTGAGGGTGATCTATCTATCTATCTATCTATCTATCTATCTATCTATCTATCTATCTATCATCTCCATTTGCAAACGGCAGTGTTTCCCTTGTTGTAACAGTTGATAACATGCTGTCCAAGAATAGCAGGGGGGGAGTTAGCGGTCATTTTGGTTTATATCAAAATCCATTCAGTATTTATTTAACTGATATCCCACCTTTCTTCCCAGTGGTGACGCAAAGCAGCCTATATAATTCTTCTTTCCTCCATTTTATCCCCATAACACCCTGTGAGGTAGGTTAGGCTGAGCATGTGTGACTGGCCCAAGATCACCCAGTGAGCGTCTATGGCAAAGTGAGGATTTGAACTTGGATCTTCGAGATTCTAGTCCAACACTCTTAACCACTACACCACACTGGCTCTCTCGTATGGCCCTTTATTATTTTTATTTTTGCATTATTTTTATTTAATACCTTTCATTAAGATCTACGAATGTAACATAACATCTTTTGTGAGTTTGTAAGTTCTCTAGAGCTCTTGATGAAGTTGGATATTAAAAAAAAAACCTGGGGAAGAGGAACACACCTTTCAGGGTCCAGAGTTAGTGCCTCTTTGTCTGCATGGTGTCTTTGGATGCTTTTCAGTTTCAGTGGGTACAGGTTGTGGCTAGCTCATATCAGATTGGGCCCCTGACCTCCTGGGAAAAGGAAGCAGGACTGAAAGCCATCTAGTTGAAAACTGCCAATATTTGATCAAATGTCTCTCTGATGCCAAATGTCTCTCTCTCTTTGATCCCTTCAAAGACTGAGCACAAAGGGCAAATAATTAACAATAATGGAGGATAATTTTAGCTTGTGCCCTAAGTAAAGAGTCAGTATAGCCAAATTGTGTTTATATTACCTAATAAAGTTACCCAGGTTATTCTTCTTTCAGTTGAAATGCTGTCCAAGATAGATTGTACTTCAGAAAATTAATAATACTGATGCTTACCACTTCGATAGTACAGTGTTTAGAAAGCTTCACGTGCATTACCTTGCAATCCCCACAACTAGGGATGGGCACAAACTAAAGTTCGTGATGGATTTTGGCTGGTTCGTGGTTCGTGAACTGAAACGCATGGAAAAGTAGAATTCAAATAAAATATAAATAATTGAATAAAACCACTCTATAGATGTTTTAATATTATTTTTAATAAGAAATCTTTGTTCCCATTTGAGCCCCTTTGCCTTGTAGGCTTGTGTGATAACAGGTCACTTGCAACAAGCCTTTCTGGGCGTGCCCCTTGCTTACAGGGCTCTCATCCCAGGAGACAAAACAAGTCTTGCTTCTGTAATTTAGGAAGCTGTGTCTTATTCCATGAGGCTTTGGGGCTCAAATGGCCAATGCAATAGTCACTCTACTTCTTTGCTGCCATTTACTCATGTTCAGTATCCACCATTTTAATCGTTTGTAGTTTTCATTTATTGGTTTTAATCATTATATTTATTTCACACCACCTCGAGGATGAGTTGAACTGAAAGGCAACGGAAACCAGGTCAACAAACTTTCTGCACTCAGGAGATCCTTATCCTACCCCAAAGAAATTGAATTCTGCATGAAAAATAATTCATATAAATAAGAGTGTGGGTGCCATAAAAAGGAGAGAGTGGAGAATCGGGCCCCAGACCATTATAACTCTTGCAGAAAGATTTTGACCCTCATAGCACGGAGTCTTGGGTTCATGTTCTGATGCTGATAAGGGAACTCTTCCATACGGTGAAAGCTGTCCCGTTCATCAGGTTTACTGTGATCCCACAAACAGGTGAGGCTGCGTCCAAGGCCAAAAGGCAGGAGCGGGGCCGGTCCCAAGAACGGAAGCTTCATTCCTCTTCTTCCTCCGAAAAGCAGCGGTTTTACTCCTGTGATCGGTACGGGAGCCGAGACCACTCTCAGCCCAAGTCAACTGAGCGCAGCAGGCCCACCTCCCCCAGTGGAGGGCAGGAACATGGGATGCAGAAGCAGGTGAGGACCCAAGGGCAGGGTTCGGGGTGGGAGGAAAGAATCGGCACCTTATACCAGTGCCTGGAGGACCATTTCCAAAAAGGAGACGGTGCACTTGGTCCTCTGAAGAGGAACTAGACAGGCCTGTTGCAGGGACTGTGAGCTCAGTGTCTAGAGGGTCAGTTTGCAATGTATCAGTTTATTCTCAATAAAATAGCTCATAAAGCACAATGCCTTGTTGGATTTGCTCAGGCTGGGCCAAGTACAAATGTTCAATAACCTACAGTACGCAAATACAATTCAGAATTTAAAAGTTCACAGAATAAAAAGATGAAACCAGTACAATTAGCTAGAATATCAGTAAGCCTACTATGAGAATTATATCAAAGTACTCAGAACTGAATCAGTCAAGATAGTTTCAGTGCCTGTGAAATAAATTTTGCCACTGTTTCTGTAGTCCTCTTGTCTAGAGAGTTAAACTCTGGCTTGCCAGGTCTTGGATTTGGCCCTGAGACTCCTGTTTGGAGCCTTATCCTTATGGTGACAGCCTACACATAGGAGGCAGTAATCTAGCACTAATAGTTTAACTACATTTTACATTTAGTGAATAGCTAATTTTGGGAGGGGGGCTCCTACGTCTCTTCTAAGCCCCATTATTTATAATTACACACATATAAATGCTTAGAAGTGGGGGGGGGGGGACAAAAGGGATCGAGGAAATGGCTTTTAGCAGGCGGGTGAGCCTGTACACTGTTAGGCTGACATGGCTGGAAGCCAATTCATCAGTCCCTTTCACTCCACACACACCCTCCTTCCAAGCAGTGACACGACTTGACTCGGCACAACTTGACACGACTCGCTTCCAAGCGGCAGCATGACTTGGCTAGTGAACTCGGCATTTAAAGAGACTGCAGTCTCTTTAAATGCCTTCTAGCTGTGTCTAATATCGGCTTTTATTTGGGCACGTCTACTTCAGCTGAATAAATACCCGAAAATACCAATAAGGTATTTTTGAGGTATTTATTCGGCTTGGTATATACCCATCCCTGCCGATGACTCTTTCTCTCTCCAAGCGATTGGCCATTCTTCTGATAAGATACCAGGATTTGGCAAAGGGAAATCAAGGTGGCCCAGGCCTGGCCTCCAAGTTGATCAGATTGATCTCCACCAGTCTCAGTGGAGCAGGTGGCCTCGTCAGAGTGCAGGTAAAGTTGATTTTTAGGTCTGAGCATCCCGTGCCTCATCTGGATCCCAGGCCCTGGCCTCAGTCAGGCCCCACACTTGGCATTTAAAGACAGTCTGCATTTGCATGAGAAAGCAAGGAAGGTCAGTTACAGAACTTCCAAGTCCATTGTTCTTAATAACATCTCTGGGGTTTTGAGGTATGTGTTACCATTTCTGAATGTCCAAGGTCAGGCACCCTACTCTCCATTTCCACTAGAACTGTCTGCTATCCTGCACTGTTGCACGAATGCACTGGATGTTTCCATCTGGAATCCTCCCTCCCAGCCATTGGTTTTTTGGGTCTTTACCTCCGTTCCAAATTGCTCCTCTGCAGCCCCCCGACTGTGCATGTCTAAACTTTCTCTTTCCTTTTTTTCTCATCATGTAACACATCCTTCCCTTCCTGTCACCTGTTCCTCTATTGTTTGTTTGTGTTCTTCCCCCCCATGCGCCTTCGTGTTTGTCTGGTATTTTTTCTGTTATTTTCCTGTTCATTTGCTTTGTTCCACTTTTCATGTAGGGCAGTGGTTCAGTTAATGGGAGCCCCTTGCTGTCAACCTCTGGTGCTAGCACCCCATGCCGTGGCCGGAGGCAGTTGCCGCAGACGCCGCTGACCCCGCGGCCCAGCATCACGTACAAGACCGCCAACTCCTCGCCCGTGCACTTCTCCAGTTTCCAAACTGGCCTGCCAACCTTCTCCCCAGGGCGCCTGAGCCGCGGTCTGTCTGAGCACAATGCGTTGTTGCATGGAGACTCACAGGGCCACTCACAGACCCTGGTGGCCCGAATCGGTTCGGACCCTTACCTGGGGCACCGGGAGGACAGTGACAGTCCATATCATGTTGTGCCCGAGGACACGCTCACCTTTGAGGAGGCTGTTGCTACTAATTCAGGAAGATCCTCCCGGACTTCTTACGTCTCCTCTTTGACTTCCCAGTCACACCAAATCCGCAGAGTCCCCAATGGGTATCATTACACCTTGGGCCTCAGCTCCGGCCCTGGGACCAGCACCAGAGCACGTAGCTACTACCATGAACGGGATGAAGATGATTGGTGCTAGCAGGAAAAGGCCTGGTCTTTGCACACTGGAAATTGATGAGTTTTATCATCCAGAAAGCTGTGTCTGTCTGTCTGTCTGTCTGTGCGCTCAGCCCCATGGCAATCAGGGCTTGGAAGGGGGGGGGCAAAAAGTGCTTCGCTGTGGAACTGCCCACCCCCAGAAGACTGCCCTGCTTGCGCACACAATGTCATCAGAGACGCCTCTCTCCCTTTGCACTACGGAGCGATTGATCAGGAATGGAAGGCTGTTCCATGCAAGGAGGGGGGGCAGCTTGCTCCTGCTGTGCTCCTCATTGTCTCGCCTAGGTAAATGTCGCCCCCTCCAGATGACACAACTGTAACTTAAGCAAAGAGCTCAAGAAGAAAACCCAAACTCGGATCTATTGGCCTCTCTGGGACTGGAACCTTTGCAGGGTTTGGGATGACTGGGGGGATATAAGGAAGAAAGGAACTGTCTTGTACAAAACCAAGCCTGTCATTTATCTTGTTGACACTAAGACGGGAAGCAATCCAGCCAGACAGTGGATTTGATATTTGGTAAGAGCAATCCTTTTAAACGGAGCCAGTAACAAAACCTTCCAGCCAACAAAGCACCACAATGTCGTCTGTGACTCCTTTTATTCACTGGTCTGTTTCCACTTTTTTGGGTCCTTCACGTTGACGTTTAGGAAAGCCCCGGGGAGCTGTTTGGGTCAAGACGGTTTCCAGGCTGTTGTTCTTGCTGCTAACTTGTTCGGTTTTTCTCTGTTGGGATGCAAGATGCCTCCATTCACCATTTCGTCTTGTTTACAATCTGAGAGGGGAAAGGGGGGAGGGGCAGGCAAAGGAAATGTTTCTTTGGTTTTATATCAAGCTGTTAGAGAAACTTAAACTTTTCATTGTGTGCATTTTTTGTAAATTGTACAGTAAAAAAACAAAAACAGAGAGAGAGAGTCCTCCACTGTAGAGAACTAGTCCAACTGTCATTCCAGCCCACCGTTTCTTACCGAAGGCGACGTTCTTCACTTCTAAGTGCCTAACCCTATCTCTCGTGGTGATGATGCAATCTCGTATTCCCCATGCATCAGGAGAATGTGAGAAATGGGGCAGGAAGGAATACTCTGCAGGGGGTGCTTTGGGAGGCTTTGAGCTTCATTCAGGGCTGTCTTGCCACCCATTCAGATTGGAAAGCTACCAACAGGGAAGGTCAACATGTTTCTTTCATGGGGGCAGCAGGTAAATTTTGGAGAAGTTCAGACCACGTATCCAGCACCAACAGCAATGTTTGTTGCAGAAAATGGAACCCTTTTGTTCTGCATGTCTCAGTCTTAACATGGTTACAGAAGCTCTGAACACCCTTCACGTTGTGTCGTTTGGGTTGACGGCAGTTGGAGAGTTTTGCCTGGTTTGGGAGAAGAAAGCAAAGAAAGAAAGACAAACCAATTCTGATTCTCAGGGATGAGATTTTTGTCCTTTTTGTCTGCGTGCGCGTGAGTGTGCGTGCATATGTTTCTGTGAATTTGATGTTTTGTTTGTGTGCGTGAACTTTCTCAAATGTCTGCGTTACAAGCTCGGGGAAGATGTTGCTAGCAAACAGAAACCCGTGCTGAAGAGGCTCAAAGGCCTCGCCAGTCTTGTTGGGTGCAGACACAACCCAAAGGGGTGACAGAGTCATGTTCTGAGAGAGGTCAAAGGAGCCAGTGAGGGAGAGAAGGAATTGTGGAGAGGAGGAAAGTGGGAAGGAATCAGTGGAGAGGAACAGCCCCTACGCATTTCGTTTTTACGGTGTCTGAAGTATCTATATAAATAGAAGAGTGCAAATGCGACAAACAGGTGTTTGCCAACATGCCTGTCATTTGAATCACCTGTGTCAGGGAGATGACCTGAGCTCCATGTACGCATGGCAGCAAACCAGGTGAGAGATGGGAAGAGGGTGGAATAATCTCAGTCTGCAGGCTATTCAGAGGCTAGCTTCACATTACCTGGAAAAGAGTTTCCCAATGCCCCAGCTGCCAATTTATACAGAACAAAGCAGATTTGGGAAGTGGTGGGAAGGAAAGATGGTGTTTAAATCTTTCTTTGCTAGTGCACATCTGGAATGCCACTGGGTGAGCAGAACCTGCTTAAAGGGCAATTTTGAGTAAGCAAAAAGGGTCAGCAGTGAAAAGACTAGCAACCTCTCACCGCTTCCACAGCCCTCTCCTTTGAATTCTCCCTTTCTGAAGTCACTTTGTTTTTTTTAAACGGTGCCAAGGCCCTGTCACACACATTAGTGTGTAGTTAGCCTCTTCAAGGGTGAGTTTACACAATCAAAGGGCCTGTTCACTTGTGCGAATGGCCACTTTCCCCCTTCTAACCGTGCAGGGATCACATGGAGAAACAAAAGGTACGAGCTGGAGTTTCACATGTGGGCTCCGCTCCCCCTGCAGTTTCCATGATTGTACTGAATCCAGTCAAATGTCACGGTGATGGTGGAAATTGCAGCAGGATCCCATGATGCCTGGTGCATTTTTTAAGCAAAAGCTAAAATGCAAGTGTGGAGCACTGGTTACATGTCGCACATTCTTCAACGTGATTCCTATTACTGGAGGATGATCAGGAGGGATTGCTTTGTGAGACAATGGTGAAGAGCCTTAAGACTCACAAATGTATAATGGCTGAAGTTTTTGTGAGCGTCTGATGAAGCTTACACTATGATAAATTTGTTAGTTGTTAAGGTGTTGTGAGACTCATTGTTTGGGCTGCAACATACTAACATGGGTACACCTCCGGAATCTAATGGGGAAAAGTATTTATATGTATGAAGTGGCTACAAGTCATGGATGTGCTGCTCTTGTTAATATCCCAAGTGACTTGGTGAGTCCTATGTGTTCGGATCTGGTGGCTGAAAATGCCTCTTTCCACACTTTGGAAGCAGCCTTTTGCTGTGACGGTTGGCATCAGAGGTCTTTATGTGCTCACGCATTTCTGACCACTCCCCTTCACTGGCTGTTGGTCTCTGTGAAAAGCAGGGCACATCATTCCATGGAGCTGGAGAGGACTGCCTCTCCCTACCATGAAAATGCATGGCTGCTTCTACCAAGCTAGTATTGTCTATTCTGATTGGCAGTGAGTCTTCAGGATCTCAGCTGAAAGGCCTGATGGTCTACACATGCAGGAGAATGACAGGGGGATGCTGGGGTGGTAAATATGCAGCACCGCTCCAGACGGCGGGTTCTGGTTCTAAATATTCCTCCAAGTGGTAAAACCTCCCTGCAAATAGAAAAGTTGCGCAGCAAAGAGGCAAGGAGTTGCGTCTGAAACTTTCTTTGCTAGTTTTCTGTTTACAAGGAGGCAAACGTTCCCAAATGTGATCACCTGCCTGAAGTATGAGTCCATTCTACCAGCCCAGTACTTTGCCACTCGCTCATCTGGCTGCATGGGAAGAGCTGGCCAGAGATCCTTGGACTGGAGGTGCCAGGGATGGAACCGTCTGCATAGAAACCACATGCTCTACCACGAAGCCATGGTCCCTTCTGGCCCCTCAGCCCACAAAGAATGACCTGTTTTCCAAGGACATCCTCTTTTTCCCTTCAATGAGCTGATGCCTTATATTGTCACTAGGTGCTGCTGCAGTTCTGTTACTTATGCAAATAGTGATCCAGAAACCACAGAGCTGGACCAATCCACAGCAGAACCAGAAGGAATCATCTGAGTTTGCTGCAGTAAAGTGGTTTATTTTTAGAACATTTCCCAATGCAGCTTGAGCTTACTGTATTTTTCAAGGCCACTATGATTTATAAAAACACACGCATACACTTTAAGAAGATCATTGACATTTATCATGACATTATAAAATATTAATATGCCACATTTGTTGCACAGTTATAAGTATATAAATATAATATTAAATGTGTTACTGTTATTCAGTCATATTTTTAAAATAATCTCTTTTTAAAATGTTCTGTTTGAATTTATTTTGAATTTATTCTTTAAATTGGTTTCACCGTCTATCTGTAGGAGGGCTGTAGCAGACATTTCATAGTAAATACAAGGATTTAGCAAACTCTTCTTTTAAAAGACGGTTTTTGTTCTAGTTTCAGGGTATCTGTTTTCAATTAATAACCTACTCTTTGCAAATATTTAAGCATTAATTATTTCAAACGATATCATTGGCAGGACTTCTACTTATTAGTAAAATAAGTGCTGGTATACTGTCTGAGAACAGAAAATATAAAGAGCTCCTTTTATCATTAACAAGCCCACCCCCTGCTAGGAACAGTTTCACTTTAAATTCGTTACTACAATAAATAAATAAATTAGAACTCCTGCTACCTTCAGATGTCTTCCTCTGGCTTCCACAGCTGTGCAAATAGCACCATAGCGATCCCTAGTGAAAGATCAAAAGTATGACAAGCATTACAACATAGTATATTTTAAAATACCAACCAAAGACTGAAGGAGAAACCAGCACCCCAATCATGTATCCAGAAATAGGGGGGGCGGGGGAGCCACCAATATTGATCGTGTGAACTCACCCTTCAAGCTGTTCAAAATGGAGATTGAGCAAAAACCTTGGCATGTCTTGATTTGGGTTGCATTGTTCATTTAAGACAGCTTTTTAAAAAAAGAGACAGATTTTTAACCACTTGGGATTGTTAAACAGAAAATAGTTTTCCATCAACAAAACAGAGGTGTAAAGGGGAAACTAAGGAGGAGGTGAAATGGCTGGAGGTAGCTTCCCTCTTCTGTGCCTCCTCAAACTTTTAGTTGAGAGTATTTGAATCTTTGTTCTGTTTCCTTATCTCCAACCAATCTCATCCCTGGACTGTGTTCTAACAAACTCTTCTCTCTCTCAAACTCTTATTAGTACACATGCACTTTGAATATAGAAAGCTTATTAGCCAAGGGGGATTTGTTGTTTAGGGATCACAGAATGATTTTTAAAAAATAACTGTAGGGCTATGCAACAAGATGACACTTGACTTTTCACAAATAAAATCGAATCAAAATGGAAAAGGCAAGTGGGCAAAGGATTGACAT